TTTTTTGCACATGAACGTGGTATGTATCTCCATAGGGCATTTACGCAAATGCACCATTGCCCTGTCTGTTTGTCTGCTAATCATACCTCTTTTTAGTGTGTTATATGATATTTCAGAAATTGCGTTTTGTAACATCTGTTAGGACAGAAATGTTTTTCCAGTTTTATCTGATCTAAAGGACACAATTTTCCATGTTTGTCTGATATATCAAAATCATTTTTTTTTGTTTGGTTTGATACCAAAACTTTCTCCCCATAGGCGTAGCTTCAGCGTCTACCGGGCGTGATTACCGGCTTCCCCCCTGAATATCGTAATGCACGTACCATACACTTCGCGGACCGACAAATTGGATGCTGGTTTCGCCAGCAAAGCAGAAGATGCTTTCGCCCCACGTGAATCCACCCAGAATGTGCCGCAACAAGTCACTCCGCATCATACCTTACCCATGATGGACCACCTCTGATGTGCGTGGCCTGTTACGGCGAGAATGATTGGTCACCGTCATACAGCGCACCTGCAGCCACATCCACACAGCAACGTTTTCGGCGCCTACAGAACCTTCATGAACCGCGCTGCGACAAGACCACAAACAGTGGTGCCACCCAGTTTCATTCTGCACCATGTGCGCTTTGTCAAAATGGAAAGCACACAGAACGTTGGGGTTTGAGGGGGAGAGGGGGGGGGGGGGGGGGTACAAGAGTGTCGAGAAATGTGTTGTACCCTCTAAGGATAACCCCTACACAACCTAGAGAGAATGCATATAATGTTTTGACACACCCCCATAGGTGAAGTAGGGGATAGCCAAACCAAACAGTGGTCACAAGACCAGTCAGGAGACGCAAACAAAGCAAAGCCCAGGGTGGATCACCATGCAGCCTGAGCACGAGCAAGCGGGCACAAGGCCAGTTCACATGCAGAGTTATAAAAGCACAAGCAGTACAGTGATCACAACCTAGCAAGAGCAAGCATGCCGGTACACACTATATAGATCACAGTATAAGACAAGTCAAGCAACTAGCATATGAGGCAGAACGGGCAGAAGCCCAAGAGAAGTGCAAAAACGCTGATGATCACCAGGCCCGAGGGCCTTGGTGAAAACGTCAGCAGCGTTGGCCCGAGAGGCCACGTAGGAAAGGCGAAGCTGACCACGCTGCTGCAGCTCTCGAGCAAGAAAGTAGCAAAGAGCAATGTGCTTCATTCCGTGCTCCAGTCTCTGCTCGTCACACAAGGCCAGCATGGCCTTGTTGTTGACGTACAGAGCTGGAGGAGAACAAGGCCGCTCCCCCAAGTCGGTCAGCAGGTAGGTCAGCCAGCGTAGATCCTGTGCAGCCATAGCCCCAGCGTAGTTCTCGGCCTCACAGCTAGAATCAAGCACAGAAGAAGAACGAGTGGACCTCCACGAGACAGAGCCAGAGCCAAGACTGAAGGTGTAACCCTGTGACAAACGCTGAGTCGTCTGGAAGTCGGCCCAAGAAGCGTCAAAGTGTCCTGTGAGTACCACTGCACCCTGTCCTCCAAGCACAAGCCCCATGCCCAATGTACTTCACAAGTAATGCAATACCCTCTTCGCAACATCCCAGTGCACCTTTCGGTGTCTACCGGGAGCCACGTAGCGAGCCAGGAGGCTGAGAGAATATGCGAGGTCAGGTCGTGTGCACGTCATCAAGTACATGAAACAACCCACAAGCTCTCGATACGGACCACTAGGCTCTACAGACTCGTCCGAAGGTGGAGCTGAGAGCGAGTGGCCAGTAGGCAGAGGAGTAGGCAGTGGCGAGGAGTACTAGAAGCCGAAGCGCTGAAGAACCTGGTGCACCATGTATGACTGAGTCAGGGTGATGGTGCGCCGTGCTCTGTCCCGGGTGATCTGCAAGCCAAGATAGCTCCGCAGCTCACCCAGGTCGGTACAGGTGTGTCTCTCCTGCAGCTCCGCCTTCACTAGGGCCAACGCCTCAGTGTCAGCAGTAGCAAAAACCAAGTCGTCGACGTACACGAGAACGTAGAACGGCGGCATGGTAGTGTCGGTGCGTAGAAACAGCAACGGGTCAGCAGAGGAAGGAGCAAACCCAAGAGCCGCAAGTGTCGTCCTCAGTGTGTCGTGTCACTCGCGGGGTGCCAGGCGGAGACCGTAGAATGGCCGTCGGAGGCTCCACTGGGTACCCGCAGGAAACGACCCAGTGAAGCCAGGTGGGCGGCGTAGCCAGATCTCCTCGTGAAGGCTGCCTTGTAAGAAAGCTGTAGAGAAGCCAAGGGAGTGCAGCTCATAGTCACGTTGTGCTGCAACGTGCAGCACCACCCAAAGAGTAGTCATCTTTGAGGTGGGGGAGAAGGTCTGGAAGTTGTCGACCCTCTGTCGCTGACTGAAACCTCGAGCAACGTAACGCGCCTAGAAGGCAGGCGGAGAACATGGCGGCCGCTTCACTCTGAAAATCCACATGCCATCGACTATGTTCGCCCCTGCACGAGGAACCTCGTCAGCGTAGGTGCCTGTGGACTTCCAGGAAGCCATCTCTGCGTCCATGACTGTCTGCCACTGGTAGGAGTACTCACCCGCGACCGCCTCAGCGTAAGAGCGCGGGGTGTTAGAATGTAGAACTGAACGAGAATGATTGAACTAGGAATGTTGAGAGTACAAGTAGGAATCCCTAGAGCAATGTACCCCCTAAAGGCTAACCCACTGTAGCCTACACAGCAGTAACATATATAATGTTTGACACACCCCCATAGGCAAAGTGGGGGAGAGCAAGGGGTCACAAGACCAGTCAAAGCAAAGCAAAGCAAAACAAGCTCAGGGTGGATCTCAAGGAAACCACACAAATTCCGGGCACAAGCAAGTGGCCACAAGACCAGTTCACATGCAGTTTGATAATATAACAAGAGGTACAGTGATCACAACCTAGCAAGTGTAAGCATGCAGGTATATATATAGAGATCACAGTACAAGCAGAGTCAAGAAGTGAGCAAGTGAGGGACAGTAGGCACAAGGCCTAGAACAGTACAGAAACGTTGATGATCACAAGGCTGAAGTGCCTTGGTGAACACATCAGCAGTGTTGGCCTGAGTGGCCACGTACGCAAGAGGAAGCTAACCACGCTGCTGCAGCTCTCGAGCAAGGAAGTAGCGCAGAGCGATGTGCTTCGTTCTGTGCTCCAGTCTGTGCTCCTGACACAAGACAATGGCAGCATTGTTGTCGACGTACAGCACTGGAGGAGAATGAGGCCGCTCTCCCAGGTCGGTCAGCAGGTAGTTGAGCCAGCGTAACTCCTGTGCAGCCATGGCCGTGGCGTAGATCTCAGCCTCACAACTAGAGCTGAGAACAGAAGACGAGCGAGTAGAACGTCATGAAACTGAACCAGAGCCAAGGCTGAAGGTGTAACCCTGAGACGACCGCTGCGTAGCCTGGTCGTGAGCCCAAGAAGCGTCTGAGTGCCCAGTGAGAACAGGCCTGTCTCGCCCTCCAAGTACTAGCCCCATGCCCGACGTACTGCACAAGTAGCGCAGCACCCTCTTAGCTGCATCCATGTGCTCCTTCCGGTGACGGCCGGGAGCGACATAGCGTGCTAGGATGCTAAGAGGTTATGCCAGGTCAGGTCGAGTGCAGGTCATCAGGTACATGAGGCAGCCCACAAGCTCTGGATACGGGCCACTCGGCTCTACGGACTCATCCGAAGGCAGAGCTGAGAGCGAGTGACCGGTAGGCAGAGGAGTGGACTGAGGCGAGGAGTACGTGAAGCGGAAGCGCTGAAGGACTTGCTGCACCATGTGTGACTGAGTCAAGGTGATGGTGCGCTGTGCTCTGTCCCGGGTGATCCGCAAGCCAAGATAGCTTGTAAGCTCTCCCAGGTCCAGCTTCGTGGAAACTACCAGCTGTCAGACATGGGACACTGCAGTATGCAAACTCAGTTATGCAATAGATGGAACTCAGAATACGTCAGTGTTCATAGTGGAATATATATTGCACTGCCTGCGTCAGCAGGCAGTGCAATGTGTCAGCGGGCAAGAAAAAAAATAAACCCCCATCGGAAGGCATGCCATCCGAGGGAGCCTCAACCCTAAAATTTTAGGGTTGAGGCTCACGAATGGCATGCAGTCCAAATGGGTTGTAGTTTTTCTGCCCGCGGGCAGAATGCTGACTCACTCGGTAGCGTCGTCTAGCGAAACGGTAGCGCTACCGAGCGCTACCGACGCTACCGAGTGAAATGTATTGGAGTAGTTGCAATCCTGAAGAGAACGCTTAAGCAACAAATGGGAAGGAATAAAAGGAACTCATAATATTTCAGTGTTCACATCACGAACTAAGGGTACGGAGATTTGAGACTTTTAATGCATCAGAGAAACCCAAAAGGCATAGTTTGGATATACAAATAGCTGCGGCTGCGGAACAAACCTTGGCTCCATAATTTGGCCACCAAGGGGGTTGGGAAATTAGTGGACCCCCCATAATCTTTGCTCACCGTTGACCATGATTATTGGGACCTCCCAACAATTTTCCGACCCAAATTGGTGAGGGCCAATTACTTAGGCAAAGGTCCCACACAACCAACCTTCCCTACTCACAGCGGTGTACATCCTTTCCCAATCCCTTCCCATTCACAGCTATATTCGCGGTCCCCCTTCACGTCTGTTGACCTTGAAGCCCCACCTACCTCGCTGACGACAGGTTGCAGCACAGCGGTCGCTGCAGCCCCTCCCTTGCCACGCATTTGCACCTCAGCAGCCAGCGAGCAGAGAGCCTCCCTGGCCTAACTGTTGTCTCCTTGAAGACCCCCTTACCTCGCTGATGACGGGTTGCAGTACCGTGCCCGCCGCATCCCCTCCCTCGCCACCCCTTTGCACCCCCCCTCTCTTGCCGCCTATTTGCACTCCCTCTCGTTCGCCCCCTCATTGCACGTCAGCAGCCAGCGAGCAGAGCGCCTCGCGGGCCATCTCTGCTGCCTCGTGGCTGTAGTCCGTGATGAGCGCTGGCCGCCCGTGCTGCAGCATGAGGACCTGGCAGGCGGTTAGGGGGGCGAGGCACGAAGGTCCAGTTGCACGTCAACAGCCAGCGAGCAGAGCGCCTCGCGGGCTCTCTCTGCTGCCTCGTGGCTGTAGTCCGTGATCAGCGCTGGCAGCCCACAGCGCAGCATGAGGACCTGATGAGGCGGGGGAGGGCAGACGGACGAGGCATGAGGATCTAGCAAGGAGCTCTCTCTGCTGCCTCGTGGCTGAAGTCCGTGATGAGCGCTGGCAGCCTGTGCTGCAGCATGAGGACCTGGCCGGGGGGAGGGGGGCAGACAGACAAGGCATGAGGATCTAGCAAGGAGCTCTCTCTGCTGCCTCGAGCGAGACTGGAGCCCGTGATGAGCGCTGGCAGCCCCCACGCAGCATGAGGACTTGAGGGGAGGGTGACGAGGTAGCAGATGATGTGAGGGCTGGGAGGAAGGGGAGGGAGCACATGGTGCAGCCCGCAGTGATGCCTCGTGGCTGAAGTCCGTGATGAGCGCTGGCAGCCTGTGCTGCAGCATGAGGACCTGGCGGAGGGGGAGGGCAGACGGACGAGGCATGAGGGTCTATCAAGGAGCTCTCTCTGCTGGCTCGTGGCTGTAGCCTGTGATGAGCGCTGGCTGGCAGTCCACTGTGCAGCACGAGAACCTGATGGGAGAAGAGGGACGAGGCAGCACGGTGCTGTGAGTACTGGCTGTGCTGCCTCCCTGCCTCTCCGGCTTGTTGTGCTGCCTCGTGGCTGTAGACCATGATGAGTGCTGGCTGGCAACCCACTGTGCAGCACGAGGACCTGATGGGAGAAGAGGGACGAGGCAGCACGGTGCTGTGAGTACTGGCTGTGCTGCCTCCCTGCCTCTCCGGCTTGTTGTGCTGCCTCGTGGCTGTAGACCATGATGAGTGCTGGCTGGCAGCCCACTGTGCAGCATGAGGACCTGAGGGGGGGGAGAAAACGGGCAGAGGGACAAGACGGGGCAGCGTGATGGAGTGGGTGGGGAGCGGAGTGGGAGGTGCAGCCCCCAGTCATGCCTTGTACCGCCTCCCTTTTTCCCCGGCTTGCTGTGCTGCCTCGTGGCTGTAGTCCGTGATGAGAGCTGGCAGCCCCCCACGCAGCATGAGGACCTGGTGGGGCGGAGAGGGCCGAGACATGAGGGTCTGGCAAGGAGCTCTCTCTGCTGCTGCCTGGTGGGTGAAATCTGTGACGAGTGCTGACAGCACGTGCTGCAGCATGACGACCTGACGGGAGAGGAGAGGAGAGATGGAGCAGAGGGACAAGACAAGGCAGCACGATAATGACCGGATGGGGAGGGAGCGGGTGGTGCAGCCCCTCCCTCCCCCTTTCCCATGCCTTGAGGCGCCTCCTGACTCTCTGGCTCGCTCTGCTGCCTCGTGGCTGAAGTCCGTGATGAGCGCTGGCAGCCTCTGGCGCAGCATGAGGGTCTGGTGGAAAGAGGAATGGGGCAGGACGGACTGGTTGTGCTTCCTGTGGCGCCTCCCTGCCTCCTTGCCCCCTTGGCTCTCTGTGCTTCGTCGTGGCTGTAGCCCGCGATGAGAGCTGGCAGCCCACCATGCAGCATGAGGGCGTGGGGGGGAAAAAGGTGGGGAGACAGGCGGGTAGCACGACGGTCTAGCAAGGAGCTCTCCCTGCTGCCTCGTGGCTGTGGGCCGTGATCAGTGCTGGCAACCCACCCCGCAGCTTGAGGGTTTGGTAGGGGCAGAAATGGGTAGGGTGGTGTGACTCTATTTTTGTTATCAATAACAGAGAGGGGGGGGGGTGGAGGCAGGGTGGTGTGATGTGAGGACTTGGAGGAAATGGGGGATTCAGTGCAGGCACCAGTCATCCCATGTTCACAGCACTGTACATTTGATACATTGAGGTGCCTGCCTCACCCCATTCCCCTCCTTCCACAGCTAACCGTGCATCCCACCCACCCAACCCCCCCCCTCCCCCCCCTCTTCCTCCCTCTTTTCCTCTCACCAGCGTGTCTCGCCAGGAAGGGAAGGCAGGCAGGCCCGCGTTGGGGAGGAAGAGCAGCGCAGGGCAGTGGCAGGACGGGTGGCAGGGCGGGTGGTGCGGATGGGATGACTGGTGGCGATGGGACAGCTGCTGCAGCTGGTCGCTGTGATGGAGAGGTGATGCGTGCTGCGAGTGGTGCAGTGAGGTGCAGGGGCACACTGCAGTAGTGGTGGGAGGGTTGGCGAGCTCAGAAGAATGGGGAGGAGCGAGTGGTGAGCAGGCAAGGGAGGGCAGCACGTGGTGGTAGAGGCCTCGGTGGAAGTGCACTGCCACGCCTGCTGCAATGCTTGCTGTTTCTGGTGGTTGTGGCTCGGCGAATTGTGGTTCGGCAGGTTGTGGTTCGACAGGTTGTGGCTCGGTTGGTTGTGGCTCGGCAGGTTGTGGTTCGGCAGGTTGTGGCTCGGCAGGTTGTGTCTCGGCAGGTTGTGGCTCGGCCGGTTGTGGCTCGAAAGGTTGTGGTTCGGCAGGTTGTGGTTGGGCAGGGTGTGGCTCGCAAGGCTCAAAGGCGGGAGGATGCTGTAGGAGAATGCGCTTGCCGTGCCTGCAGAGGAGGTGTGGTGCAGGGACAGCGGGGAGGTGTGGTCGAGGGGGCAGTGAGGAGGTGCGGTGTGGGGGCAGTGAGGAGGTGCGGTGTGGGGGCAGTGAGGATGACAGAGCATGTGAGGATGAGGAGTTAGGGCGTGGGGATGGGTGGCATGTGGAGCAAACACAGGGGATGGGTGGCACATGGAACATGCACAAGGTGCATACGGGTCACACATGCACCACGTGTCTCCCCTCAATGCACTCTTCTCAACTCACTCGCCCCAGCGCACTCCTCTCAACGCATTCCCCTCAATGCACTCCCCTCAACGCACTCTCTCTTCAATGCACTCCCCTCAAGCAACACTCCATTGAGCTCCAGAGCTGGGGCTTACATGTGCGTGGAAATGTTGGGGCCAATGAGGTGCACACACGTGTCCATTCCAGGCAGCAGCACTCTCAGCTCTGCCAGTGCTGCCGCCTCTTGAGCCTCCCTGTCCGCCCCTGCAGGTGCAGTGTGTGGTCAGAGGGAGTGCGTGGTAAGAGGTGCATGGTAGGCCGGGGGTGTAGTGGGTGGGTGGTGAGGGGTTCGGAAGGGGAGAGGGGTGGAAGAGAGGGAGAGGGGGTGAATCTGTGACACAGCTGTGGCACAACGATGGCTGATAATTCATCAACCTCCACCTCTGGTGGCACGCTAGAGTAAGGAAATAGTACTTCAATGATCATCCCTAAAACATTGGTTTCGTGGCGTAGTTGGTTATCACGTCAGTCTAACACACTTAAGGTTTTCGGTTCTAGTCCGGGCGAAGCCATGACTTAGTTTTTACACTAGAAGCCACATGCCGCTTGAGCATGTTGCCCTCCCCCCCCCCCTTTGGTTGTTGATTCTCCAGCAAGCTCCAGCCTGAAATCCTTTTCAAAGTCCTTTCCTCAATGGCACGAATCCAATCCACTCCCCTACCCCCCAAGCAGCTCCTGAGGTGTTGGTTGGGAGGCAAGGGGCATGGTAGGGCTGTGGACTGGTGGAGCCTGGGGATTCTCCCCTTCAAGTTGGTGGTTGGTGTGGTGAGTACATGGGGAGTAATGCGGTTTTCATGAATGGTGGGTCTTCGCGTTGACCCACAGGAGCTTCTCTTCGCAATGGTGGTTGGCTTGGCATGGTGAGTGCATCGTGTGCCTGTTACTAGATGGCTGGGCTTGTGAATGGCGAATTTTCAGGTGGTTATTAATGTGGGCTACAATTAGATTGAGGCCTGCCCGCCTATCTGCCTGCCTGCCCGCCTGCCTGCTATCCTACCCGCCTACCTACCTGCCTGTCGTCGTGCCAGCCTGCCTGTTTGTCATGCAGTAGGGAGGGACGGTGGGGTTGTGAAGTCACATGCGCCCTTGTGCGAGCATGCATGCACACAAGTGTCACGGAGTGAGGCAAGATAACCGATAGAGGGTACAAATGGAGATGGGGGAGAAAGGAGAGTAGACACAGAGTTGACTTTTGAGTCGACTCAAAAGTCAACAGGGTACAAATGGAGATGGGTGAGAAAGGAGAGTAGACACAGAGTTGACTTTTGAGTCGACTCAAAAGTCAACAGGGTACAAATGGAGATGGGGGAGAAAGGAGAGTAGACACAGAGTTGACTTTTGAGTCGACTCAAAAGTCAACAGGGTACAAATGGAGATGGGGGAGAAAGGAGAGTAGACACAGAGTTGACTTTTGAGTCGACTCAAAAGTCAACAGGGTACAAATGGAGATGGGGGAGAAAGGAGAGTAGACACAGCCGGCAGCACACAGAGTTTAAAAAATGAGAAGGAAGCAAGATGGACGATTGCTTGGAATATGAGGCGTAGAAATAGAGAAAGGGAGGGCGATTGGAACACCCATGGATGCCCACCAAGCACGTGGATGCAGAGAGAGGGGCGAGTTCTCATCCCACACCGCTGGCACTGCTGCTGCCCCTCTGCACATCGGCTCTGATCCGCTTCCCCTCTCTGCTCCCTCCCAGCTGCAATGCCTGAAGGCGCGTCAGTCCCTGAGAACGCGTCAGCTTCTGAAGATGTGTGCCCCGGGAATTGATTGGTGACAGGGAGGGGAGGAGGAGGCGGTGGGACGGGCTGGAGAAGCAGGTGTAGGGCGAGGAGGATGGTGAGCGGCTGGTGGGGGGGGCACAGACGGGTGAGAGGGGGGGGATTGGGGCACAAGGAGTTTAGTGGTGGTGGTGTGGTGAATGCGTGTGCTATGAGGCTTGAGTGGTGGCAGGGAAAGCAAGAGGAGGTGGTGAGGGGGGGTGGAGGGGCAGGTGGAGGGCGAGCAGGATGGTGAGTGGATGGGGGGGGGGGAATGTTGGGTGAGCGAAGGTAGTGGGGTGTGGTGGGGGTGGGGAGTGCGGTGGGGATAGTGCATGAATGAGTCGTCGTTGTATCCGTCCCTCTTGAAGAGAGGAAACATAAGGAACAACTTTCTTTGAAGCAAGACAGACAGAGAGAGGATTGCACATTGTTCACCCTACACACCATACCATACCTCACATACTCCCATCCTGTGTGCAGCAACTCGTACTATACTTCTATCAATGTACTTACCCAACACACCATACCATAACTCACACACCATATTCCATACCATACCCACACCTCACGCCCATGCCTCACGCCCATACCTCACGCCCACACCTCACGCCCACACCTCAAGCCCACACCTCACGCCCACACCTCACGCCCACACCTCACGCCCACACCTCACGCCCACACCTCACGCCCATACCTCACACCATACCACACACCGTACCTCAAACCCATGCCTCATCCCATTTGTTCCTCACACCATACCGTGTGCAGCAGCAGAGCAGCGGGCGAGTGGAGGGGAAGGCCCCTCCAGAGGTAGTAGTGGCGCCAGGAGAGCAGAGAGAAGGGCAGAGGCGGGAGGGCGGGGAGCAGCGTGGGGTGACCCCGCAGGGCCATAGGGGTCGTGGGTGGGGACGCAGCACAAGATGCGGAGTTGATTAATGGACTGCTGGGCGCGCGTGGAGCAGTCTGGCGCTCGTCAGTGGCGGGCAGAAGCTCTGGAAGGGGTGAGCAGCCTGCCAGGGCAGTGCGGGAGATGAGCAGAACAAGGGAAACAAATGCTGGGCTTGAGAAGCGACCATGACTTGGGCTGACCATGACTTGGGTGGCGGAATGAGGTTAAAAGCAATAGTCGTATTGAGGTAATGAAAAAGAGGGGTGACTGGAAGAAAATACGCAAACAGGATGTGATGTGAGGAGCGGGAGACAGGGGCCAAACGTGAGGGACTGGGGTAGGGTGGAGAGAATGGGAGACAGAGAGAGTGAGAAGGTGGAGAGAGTGAGAGAGTGGGAAGGAGTGGGTGCCTTACGGACCGCAGAGGGCAGCGTAGGGACCCCGGGCATGCAGGTGGAGGGATGAGAGGAAGGAGCACATGGTGTGTCGCCCCTGCTCCACCTGCACCCCGCTTGCAGCACACAGGCAAAGGGAAGGAGCATGCAAAAGGGCGGGGAGGGTGGGAGAGGGAGGGATTGGCACATGATAGGCACATGATGTGCACATGATGTGCAAATGATAGGCACATGATAGGCACATGATACGCACGTGATAGGCACATGATAGGCACGTGATAGGCACGTGATAGGCACATGATAGGCACGTGATAGGCACATGATAGGCACATGATAGGCACGTGATAGGCACATGATAGGCACGTGATAGGCACATGATAGGCACGTGATAGGCACGTGATAGGCACATGATAGGCACATGATAGGCACGTGATAGGCACGTGATAGCACATGATAGGCACATGATAGGCACATGATAGGCACATGATAGGCACATGATAGGCACATGATAGGCACGTGATAGGCACGTGATAGGCACATGATAGGCACATGATAGGCACATGATAGGCACGTGATAGGCACATGATAGGCACATGATAGGCACGTGATAGGCACATGATAGGCACATGATAGGCACATGATAGGCACATGATAGGCACATGATAGGCACATGATAGGCACATGATAGGCACATGATAGGCACATGATAGGCACATGATAGGCACATGATAGGCACATGATAGGCACATGATAGGCACATGATAGGCACATGATAGGCACGTGATAGGCACATGATAGGCACATGATAGGCACGTGATAGGCACATGATAGGCACATGATAGGCACATGATAGGCACATGATAGGCACATGATAGGCACATGATAGGCACATGATAGGCACATGATAGGCACATGATAGGCACATGATAGGCACATGATAGGCACATGATAGGCACGTGATAGGCACATGATAGGCACATGATAGGCACATGATAGGCACATGATAGGCACATGATAGGCACATGATTGGCACATGATAGGCACATGATAGGCACATGATAGGCACGTGATAGGCACGTGATAGGCACATGATAGGCACATGATAGGCACATGATAGGCACATGATAGGCACATGATAGGCACATGATAGGCACATGATAGGCACATGATAGACGTGATAGGCACATGATAGACACATGATAGGCACATGATAGGCACATGATAGGCACATGATAGGCACATGATAGGCACATGATAGGCACGTGATAGGCACATGATAGGCACATGATTGGCACATGATAGGCACATGATAGGCACATGATAGGCACATGATAGGCACATGATAGGCATGGGCAATGCCACTGGGGAAGGAAGTAGGGAGACGAGGAGATTAAGCAGCGTGGGGAATTGTGGTCGTTGCATTGTGAACAGTGAAGTATCAAGAGTGCTATGATGGGCAGCACAGCACAGCACAGCACAGCACAGCACAGCACCGAACTGCACCTGGATGACGGACTTGTGCAGGAAGGGGAAGGGCAGGTCCAGCACAGCCGGTGCTCCCTGCAGCTGCAGTGAAAAGCGAGCACACTCCCCCTCCTGGGAGTGCTGCCGCCAGTGGGCCGCCTGAGGGGATGCATGATGTGTGGGGGAAGGGGGAATGGGAAACGGGAGACGAGAGATGGGGCACGAGGCATTGGGGATGGGATATGGGGCATGCGGATGGGGCGCGGGCATGGGTGATGGGGCATGGGGCATGGGGCATGGGGAATCGGCATGGGCATAGGGGATGGAGCACGGGGCATGGGGCATGGGGCATGGAATATGGGGCATGGGGGATGGGGCATGGGGGATTGGCATGGGGAGCGGGCATGGATGATGGGGTATGGGGCATAGGGAATCGGCATGGGCATAGGGGATGGAGCACCGGGCATGGGGCATGCAGATGGGAGATGGGGCATTAGGATGGGACGCAGCCATGGGGGATGGGGTGTGGGGCATGGGGCAACGGGAATGAGGCATGGGGCATGGGGTATGGGGCACGGTGAATGGGGCATGGGGCATGGGGGATGGGTGATGGGGGATTGGGGATGGGAGATGGGGCATGGGGGATGGAGTATGGCGGATGGGGCATGTGGCATTGGGCATGGGGCATGGGGCAACGGCACGGAGGCAGGGGGATGGGGCAAAGGAGGGACCGTTTGGGAGAAAGGGAGAGGAGAGGGGGAGAGAGGTGCGGGGCGGAGAAGATTGGAAGGGGGAGGGGGTGAGGAGGTGGGGAGGATGGGGAGGAGGAGACGGGTAAGGGGAAGGGCAGAGGAGAAAGCAACGAGGGCCGTGAGGACGCCACGTGTGTGCAACGAGGGCTTTGACGGGCATGGCAGTGAAGGACCAGGGGCTGGGGGCGAACGGGCGAATGGCGCGGCTGGTTCCGCGCAGCTGCGCAAGCCATCTCCCGCTGCGCCAGCGGGCCCTCGCCGCTGCTTGCTCTACGGCACGCACCTGGTGTCGCCTGCTACAGTAAATGACGACGCCGCACTCGCCGCAACGAATGCGGCCGTCGCATGGCGATGCGCACACGTGGCACTGCCACGTCATCGCAGAGCACTCAGAGTTGCGACAGCGCAGCGTAAAAGCGGTCGCAGCGCATGCCGCCACTCTTGAGAATTCTAGTGAAATAAACTACGGAGCGCAATTTGCCGTGACTGCCGCAAGCACTATGCGAGAATTTGGTGGAGCTCAGGTCGGGTCGCGGTTTTACGTACCCGGTTCGTTTAACACGGCCCAGTACGTTACTATCGACTCTAACCTTTTTATATCGCGTTTTAACGCACTGAAACTCGTTAAACGAATCAGCTAAATTAAAACGTGACCCGCCCTAAAATTCGCCCCGAGGTTCCGAACCCAAGATTTCCCACGTTTCATCCGAGTGCGTTACTTGTGTCACGTTGCTGTTGGCGGGTCACGCTGTTTCGACGTAAAGGGTACGACTCGGGTGGCATTGCGTCAGACAAATCTCACACAAGTTTTGAGATCAGCCAGTGTGAGTTACAAAATGGACCACGCGACATCGATTTTCTTTAGCGACAAGCCAGCCCCTCGCTGAATGGTTATGTGGTTCGTGTGAGTGTGCACCGCACCAAGGGTTCGCAAGAAGTGCTGTGGTGACGATGCGAACTGCGTTACGTCTCACCTGTCGCATGAGTGGGTGTTGAGGCTTCGCACACCTCGCATGCCATGCGATCAGGGTTTGGGGTTGAGACAAGTGATTTCCACTGGGGGTTACGCTGAACGGTAGGATTCATTTCTGTCGCACCGCACTAGGAAAGCGTGTATCACAAGGAATACACATGTGTACGGAGCAGGGGTGTTCATTCTTCCGTCCGTTTCAGTTGCATACAGTACAATGGCCCTGTTCTGTTGACGCACAACCAGATCGGGCCTCCCGCACAAGCACTGCGGAATGTGTTTTCCTCGAACGGGACAACCCCCCCGTGGCCTGAATCGCGGATTGCGCATCCAAGAAACATTCCACCCGACACAACATAGTAGTCACATTCAAAGCCTTCTCTCCCTGCTGACCTCCAATCAAGTGAAGCCAATACGAGGCCCTCTTGGGCTGGATTTCCAGCACCCATATTTCGGGCCGCTCTCGTCAAATACTATATTTACGTCGGGTGGTCGTCGTCGCACGGCTCGTCGGAGGCAGGACATTGTAGGCCGCAATGGTCGCCGCAGAACGCGGAGAGCTCGGCGACGCCGCGCCGCCGTCGCTGCAGCGCCTGTGCCTGCGGGCCGCCGTCAGCAGCGCCACGTGGCAGCGGCAGCCGCGGTCGATGGAGCGCCTGCCGTCCCCGCTGTCGTCGGCGCTGCTGGCGGAGCTGCTCGCCGTGGGACGTGTCACGCCGCCGCTGCTCGAGTACGCTGTGAGGCTTTGCGAGGCGAGCCTCTGCCTTTCCGCTCCGCACAAAGCCATTTATCCCCCCACCCCCCCCCTCCTACCTCATCCCGTAGCTCCCCTCGCCGACTACCTCCGAGGCTGCGAGATTGTGAGGCTGCGAGGCCCTCTGCCGCACGCTCACACGGTATCGTTCGTTCCCGCCCCTCCTCTCCGCATACGACGCGTGCCGCCGCCGCTGCTTGAGTACGCTGCGAGGCTGCGAGGCTCTGCTTTCTGCCCCTCCCCTCCTCGCAGCCTACCTCCGAGGCTGCGAGGCTCTCAGCGCGCTCACACAATACCCGTTCATGCCCTTCCCTCCCCTCCTCATACGCGACACGCCGCCGCTGCTCGAGTAAGCTGCGAGGCTAGATAACCGCTCATTCCTCCCCGCGTAGCCTTTTCTGCGAGGCTGCGAGGCCCCGCTCTCCGTCCCTGCACAGCACATTCATCCCTTCCCTCGCCTCCCTCCCTCGTCCCCTCCCCTCATCCCCTCCCCTCATCCCCTCCTCTCGTCCCCTCCCCCCAGGTTGTTCGCCCCCTCAGCGGACCACGTGGACCTCTCCTGCCCGCCTCTTGCCGCGCCCACCGTTCCGCACTCTCCAACAGCGCTGCACAACCCGCCTCCCCACGCCATGCCCACGTCTCCCGTCCCTCCCCCGTTCTCCCCCTCCCTCTCCTCACTCTCCTCGCTCCCACCTGCCCCCTATTACGGCATTCCGGACCCCTTGGAAGCCCTCGCTCCCTCGCCCCCTCTCTATGCCGTGCCACCTGGCCAATCCATAGACGCCACGTGGCTTGCCTACCTGCCAGACTTCCGCTGCCTTCGATACCTCCGGCTTGACAACTGTCGCCACGTCACCGACACTGCTCTCAGCATGCTCTCAGGTATCCCTCCCTCAGGTGTTTCTCGCAGGAATTCTTCCCGGCTCTCCGATATCCTGCATGTGCTGTCTCAGGTGCTCCCTCAGGTGCTCTTTCAGGTGCCCTCGCATATGCTCTCTCAGGTACCCTCTCAGGTTATCTGTCGGGTGCATACTCTGAGGTCCATTACAGTGGCACACCTTTCTTGTTTTGTCCTGATGCGACTCCCTTACTTCCCTCAACCCCTCATCCCCATCGTCCGCCCCATCCCCCAGTCTCCCCCGTTTCAGCGTCCCACACTCTCTCTCACTCCTTCCCAGCCTCTCTCCGCCCTCCTCCGCCCCTGTCCCCCCACTTCCAACCCCAACACTGCACGCCTTGTAGCCCCTGAGTCGCACCAACCGCTCTCCCTCATGTCCCTCTCACTTCTTCCCAACCTCTCCTCCCCTACCCCACCCTCATCCCCCTTTCGCCTTTTCCAACTCCCCACCTTCAGCGCCGGGCGCCCTGGAGCATCTGAGCCTCACCAACTGCCCTCTCCTCTTCCCTGCTCACCTCACTGGTCCTTGCACTCCTTTCCAACCTCTCTTTTCCTTTTCCCACCTTCCCTCCCCACCACCCCCCAGCACTGCACGCATTGGAGCATCTGAGCCTCACCAACTGCCCTCTCCTCACCGCCACCTCATGCCTCTCTCACTCCTTTCCAGATTTTATTTCCCCTTCTGCACCTCCCTTTCTTCCTCCCCCCACTCCCCCCGCTCCCCCCAGGTTTGCAAGCGTTGGAGCATCTGAGCCTCACCAACTGCCCTCTCCTCACCGCCACTTCTCTCGCCGCCATCCTGCCGCCCTGTCTGCCCGCCCTGCGCTCCTGCTGCCTCTCCGGCACCGCCGTTGGCATGGGCGAGGGAGGGGCTGGGGGAGGCGGCGGGGCAAGAGAGGAATGGGGCGTGGCAGTGAAGGGCAGGCGGAGAAACAAGGGGAGCAGGACTAGTGGCGGTGTTGGTGGTGGTGGTGGCAGCATGGCAGCACCTGCTGCGTTTGACACACCACCCGCTTCCTCCAACTCTCCACCTGCTGTTTCCAGCGCAGCAGAGTTCTCAGCCTGTGTGCCTGCAGCAGCCCCATCGGTGATCTCTCTGCTCGCCCGCGCCCCTCACCTCACTCATCTGGAGCTGGGCGGCATGCACCATGCCCTGGACGATAACGCCTTTCAGAAACTCACGGTGGGTGGGAATGTGCCTTGTGCCAACAGCCATTTGCCATGTGCTATGCTCGTTCACATGCTTTAGCATGCCTCCTCCTCACCTCACGCACCTGGAGCTGGGCGGCATGCACCACGCTTTGGACTTGCGCCATGCGTCATGTGTCACGTGTCATGCGCCATGTGCCATGCGCCATGCGTCACGTGTCATGCGCCATGTGCCATGTGCCATGTGCCATGTCTCATGTACCATGCGCCATGTACCATGCGCCATGCGCCATGTGCAGTGTGCCATCCTCCACACCCCATGCGCTGTGCTCCCAATCTGCCTCATCTCTCAATCATGCGTGCATCAAGCAGTCGCCCAAGCGGTTCTTCTCTTTCCGCCGTTTCCCCGCTTCCCCAATCCCTCACCCTCCACCACCTCCATGCCCCAGTCGCTGGTCCACTTGCGCCATCTGTCAGTGTGGGGCAGCAGCATCACCAACGCCTCTGCCCCTCTGCTGATCGCCTTCCCCCGCCTGCTCTCCGCCAATCTCGCCTGGACCGCCCTCTCCCACCTCCCCGCCCACCCCTCCCTCACCGCCCTCCACCTCTCCCACTGCCCCCTCCTTTTGATCGGCTTCCCTCTCCCCTCCTCCTCATCCTCTCCCTCCTCTCCCTCCTCCCCACTCACTCATCTCGTTCTCTCTGGTGCCTCCATCGCTCCTCCCTCCTCCCTCTTCCCTCCTCACCTCCTCGCCTCCCTCACTCACCTCGACCTCTCCTATTCATGCGGCGCCACACTCCCTCCTCCCCACCACTTTCCACCGCACTACACTCCTCCCCTACGCCCTCACACCCCTCCCTGCGGGCTGCAGTGGCTACAAGCAGCACTCTCCCTCACACACCTCGATCTCTCCGCTGCTGCTGTCTCTGACGCCCTTCTGTTACACCTCACTCACTCCCTCCCCAACACTGTCAGTACCCCTTCCAGCTCTCTTCCCTGTCCCTGCTCTCTCCCCCATCCTTGCTCTCTCCCCCATCCTTGCTCTCTCCCCCATCCTTGCTCTCTCCCCCATCCTTGCTCTCTCCCCCATCCTTGCTCTCTCCCCCATCCTTGCTCTCTCCCCCATCCTTGCTCTCTCCCCCATCCTTGCTCTCTCCCCCATCCTTGCTCTCTCCCCCATCCTTGCTCTCTCCCCCATCCTTGCTCTCTCCCCCATCCTTGCTCTCTCCCCCATCCTTGCTCTCTCCCCCATCCTTGCTCTATCCTCATCCCTGCTCTCTTCTTCCTTTTCCTGCACCTCACCCACTCCCTCCCTCCCCTACACGGTCAGCTCTTACCCATCCCTGCTCCTTCCCTACGTTCTCCTCTCCGTTGCTCCCTCCTACCCTCTTCTGCTGCACCTCATCCACTCACTATCACCCACTTTCATTCTGATCTGCTTGATTGCGCTTTCCACCTTCGTGTGTTCGCTGCATCAGACTGAATGCGCATGTGCTCCTTCCGTCCCCCAATTACAGTCGATGTCACAAGGCATCACCACCACCGCCACCGCCACCAGCACTACCACCAGCAACAGCAGCAGCAGTACCACCACCACCACACTTCCTCCTCCTCCTCCTCACCACGCCTTCCCCTGGCAGCACCTGTCCCTGGCCTCCTCCCCTGACCTCTCCTCCAGGGGGCTGGCCGCCCTGCTGCCTCTCACCCCGCGCCTCACCTCGCTCTCCCTCGCCCACACCGCTGCCTCCAACGCCTGCCTGCCCCTCCTCGCCTCCCTGCCGCTCCTCTCCTCCCTCTGCCTCGATGGCTGTTTCATCTCAGGTGCGCTCATGCGCACCACCCGATCCTACATCGGTTTGTTTTCCCAATAGCATTTTCTGGGTCTGTTGATGTGGATGGAGTGTCCTCTATGACACAACATCAATGGCGTTTGGTTGTGATTAATTGACTGTGCCTCCATGCCTCCATGCCTCCATGTATGACTGCAGGTGGGACATCGGATGATAACGTGGAGGATGACGAGGAGGAGGAGGACGAGGAGGAGTCTCTCCTCAGGCTCCACCTCGCACACCTGCACGCAGCAGCACCACCACCACCAGCCTCTGCAGCAGCAGCAGCAGCGGCGGCGGCAGCAGCAGCAGCAGTTGGTGGTGCTGGTGCCGGTGGCAGTGGCAATGCATATGCTGCGTTTTCCAATGGCATGGAACGGCAGTCAGCCATGGCAGAGGGCGGGTTGGCCGTGCTCGCCTCGCTGCCACACCTCACCTCCCTCAGCCTGCATGACACACCTCTATCCACACACGGCATGCTGCGACTGCGCCATCTCACTCACCTGCACCACCTCTCCCTCTCCTCCACTGCCCTCAGCCCCCGCCGCTTCCTCTCCCTCCTAGGTAACCCCCCCACCCCCTTCACCATCCCAAATTGAGTGCCTTTTGATTCAAACTTGCAGCTATATTGTGCAACCAGCCTCCCCATTCTCCTCTCATTCTTCGCTCAATATTTTTCTCATTCTTGCCTCATCCTTTGCGCAATCTCCTTGTTTTTCTCTCGATTCATTGCTCTTTTTGAGTGCTGTCTCACAGTTACCTTGTTTTTCTCCCCTTCCGCTTTCGCCCATGAGACAGCTTTCTGTCCCTGCCACCACCTGCGCCTCTCCTCGCCGCACATCACCGCACTCCACCTCTCCTCCCTCCGCCTGCACCCCTCGGTCCGCCTCCTCGACGCCTCCCTCCTCCTTTCCCTCTCTGCCCCACACGCCATGGCTCTCGCCAATCAGCTCGCGCCACGTGTCACCGTCCTACACGCATCTGACAGCTATCGCAGCCCAGGGGAATGGATGCTGCAGCAGCGGGCAGAGGAGAGAAAGGGAGCACGGAGGGAAGGAGGAAAGCAGAGGACGGGGAGAAACGGGACCATGGAGAGCGGAAAGGAGGGAGGGGTGGAGGGAGGGGAGGGGAGGGAGGGGCAGCAGATGGAAGGAAGGCCGATGGGGAGAGGGTCAGGTGGCAGTGATGGGGAAAAGGAGCAGAGGGGCCAGCATGGGAGCAGCCAGATTGAGAACTCTTGTGCGATCCTGAGCAGAGCAGGTGATTTTCGGGGCCAGTGGGAATGCAGGAGAGTGGGAAGGAATGCATTTAGCAACAGTGTATCATGGGAGCTTTCAGTTGCCAGGTGAAGTTCCAGTAGCTGAGAGGGAATTTTTAGTTGCCCAGGTGAAGTTTTAGCAGCCGAGAAGGAACTTTCAGTTGCCCAGGTTAAGTTTCAGAAGCCGAGAAGGAACTTTCAGCTGCCCAGGTGAAGTTTCAGTACTGTGGCTAGTGCATGCGTGAGGAAGGTGAGGGTGATATCGAACAGGGAAGTGACAGGCTAAGCCATAGCTTTCATGCTTCACCGTTCCCCTCCATCCCTGCACATGATCTCACACAGTGCACTCTCCAGGCCTTCCGTGCCCTCATGACTTTTGAGTCGACTCAAAAGTGCTTTGCCGTTCCCCTCCACCTTTGCGCATGGTCTCTCACAGTACACTTTCCAGGCCTTGCATGCCCTCTCGGGAGAATTTGAGGCATTTTTGAGAATTCTTAAAGGTAACCCTGGTTACCTCGTGTATCCTCACTCCCTTGCTGCCACTACTAGCTTGTCAGACTCTTTCACCTCCCCCACCCAACCCTAGCAGATGAGAGGCGCAAATTCACCCCGGCTGAGCTCAAGTCGTTGCGAGGTCGTGCCCAGGCGCTGCAGCTGCCTGTAGCGTTGCCAGCGCACCTCACCCGCAAGCAAGCGTGGTAGAGGTCTATTCATTTCATTGATCTGGGGCAGTGTTGCCAGGTGGAGCCGTGTGGATGGGAGATGTTGTGATGTTGCTATGCAGATGAGGAGTCACGTTTTTCTATGTGGTAGTCTCAAAACACTCTAGGGTGCACTATCGGGGGAAAGTGTATAGCACCCTATGTGTATTTATGTTTTTCGATACCGTAAAAAAAAATGATGTTTCCTTGCACACTGCACCATTGCCAGGCTAGGATGACTTATGAGCACATTATTTCAACATGAATCTGTGCTGGGTGTAGATTGGTGTTGTCTACGTACGTATAAAACCCTTGTTCTGAACACAGCATATTGTTTTCTACTTGGCCCAGCGGCTTACCACGAGGCAAAGGGGCATGGTTCATAAATGGCCACGAGGTGGCCACTGGCCCTTTTCTACTTGGCCCTGAGTAGGCTTCCAATTATAGAATCCCCCCTTGTTTGTGGATTTTGTTCTCTGTTGGTGCAACTCCATGATTTGTACTTGAGTTGTACTTATCCTTGTGCGTTTGCATCCCAAGTCCCTTCTACATACCAGCAGCAAACGGCATGTCCGCACACAAGCAATCTGCCATCTGTGAGATGAGAGACCACATTCACGATGTCCTCACCCACTTCGACGCTTCAGCGCGCACTCATCTTCCCATTTATTTCACACTTCCTCTATTGTCAACCACAACTCAACAATGCAAATCCAGTATGATATACATAACAAGGACTATTTAGCCATAGTGTATGATGTATCTGACAGCAAGCACCCTGTAGGATGATTCAGCAGCTAGTGAGTGCCGTACGCCTATGACACACTAGTGTGTGCCGTACGTCTATGTCACGCTGGTTGCGGAGTCACTCTGCATGCCCTCTTGCTCTGCACGGGCCATTTCAGCAGTGAAGCTGGAGGAGCCAATAAAACTCCCACTCTCCATGTTGATGCGAGACATGGCATCGCCCACATGTGCTCCGAACGCCTCTTGCTTCAATTTCACCAGCTCTCCCAGCACTTGATTCATGGAGGGGCGGGTGACTGCAGGCATGGCGGTGCAGGAGAGCGCAAGGCGAGCCCAGCGCAGCACCAAGTCGTCTGGTGCGTCTAAGTATGGGTCCTTGAACATTGTTACGGCATCTGACTCCACGAACGGGGCGATCTGTTGGGTTCAAATTGAACACACCCATGCGGATATATGCTTGAATGACCAATGCTCTACCATGCTAATGGATCAAGCATTGAGCAGTAGTCATGCGGTTTTTTCTCAAAGGATCTAGGGAGTAAGTTTGTGCCTAGCAACTGTGGCTCACCCATTGCCTCAGGCTGATCTGGCTGGTCTCGCTCACATGCACAGCCTTGCATGCTGAGATGACCACCAGCATCACCACACCAAAGCTGCCACCACCAGACCAGCGACAGAAACAAGGGGACCAGAATGGAGGGTGATGAGGGGCATTTGAATGAAGTGTGCCATGCCAACCTGCATAAAACACGTGTTTATCCCCTCAAAGCAAGGCACATCTTTGTGCTCACCTGTACACATCTGCTGCTGGAGTAGCCTTGTGAGACTTGTAGTAGGCAGGGTCCACATAGCCCGGTGTTCCCATCACTCGAGTGGCAGCCACAGACATGCCCATAGCAGTGGTCTCAGTGAGTTTCACCAGTCCAAAGTCTGCAATCTTGGCCTGGACAACAATCACAAGTGCATGTTAAGAATGTAGGCAAAGTCAGGTAGACAGTCAATACTGTTCTTTGAAAAATCAGAGCATGATATGAGAACAGAAATAACTCAGATATTTCAAACGGAAGAATATCTGAAGTGGATGTTATGACAGACCTGCATTTTTGCACCAAGGAGAATATTGGCTGGCTTGATGTCGCGATGCACAATGCCAAAGTCATGAAGATATTGCAGCCCCTTTGCCACTCCAATCAAAACATCCAGTCGTTGCAACACAGAGAGGTGGCTTGGAGCTCCTAAGAAAAGGTATTTGAAGAAATATTTGCAATAGAAATGCAGGGCACAAGACACGCGGACAATAAAAAAAGGGCATGGTGGAAGCTGCAGGTCACAAGGCGGCGAGTCTAGCCATTCAAATAAATTTTCTATCCAAACTCACTTTAGATACAAATATGTGTTCCACTTAAAATGGTTATTGAAGGGAGCAATATAAAATCCATCAGAATCAAAATGAAGTTAGATTACCTGGTCAAATCCAGCTCCCCAAGTCCCGGTTCGCCATGAACCCATACACGAGCACCTGTTCTACGTTAAGGGCTACTGAAGGTTGAAAAGGAAAATCTTTCAAGTTTAGGGGCAAGACAGCTTACTTGGTTCAATCCAGGTCTCCAAGTCTCGGTTCGTCATGAACTCATACACGAGCACTTGCTCAATCCTGCCCGTGCTTGAATCGTAGTTCGCACAGAAGCCCAGCAGGCGCACCAGGTTGGGGTGGTGCTTGCTGGCCATCTCCTTCACCTGTGAGATACAAAAACGTATCATGATTGGCCAAGATGAAACGAGTGTATGTGTGTGTGTGTGTGTGTGTGTGTGTGTGTGTGTGTGTTTTTGTGTGTGTGTGTGTTGAAATGGATGTAACTATTTGACTCCTATGTGAAGCTAAAATCTGCGCAATCGGAGTGTGTCACCTCAGTGAGGAAGTGATTGGAGAGAACTCTAGAGCGCTTCACAGCCCACATCGCATTCGGATCATGCAGCGACACACCCTTGTACACATCCCCAAAGCTGCCACTGCCAATCCTATTCCCTTCTGCCCACTCTCCCGTTGCTCTTGCAAGCTCTTCCAGAGTGAACTTATGGCACACATGTGGCGTCACTGCCTCCATCTCCTCCACCAGGTTTCTCTGCTTCTCCTGTGCTGCTGCACCCGCTGCCACAACCGCCGCTGCAGCAGCAGCTGCAGCGCTTGCTTCCGGGTCCCTCTCCACTGCTCTGGATGCTGCGTTTGAATAATCAGTTTCAGAGTCTGTGAGAAGTTGTGAAGGTGGAAGTAAGATGAAGATGAGAAAATTAAAGTGGATGAGAAACCGGAAAGGAAGGTCCGGGATGGTGGAGGTTTCCAGGCAGTGTGGATTGGAGATATCTTACCTTGGAATGCACTTTCTTCTGCCAAATTCTTTCCAACCACATCAGTGTCAGTGTCACCTCCTCCTGCTGCCCCTTTGGTGCGGCATCGCTTCCACAGCAACCAGCTCAGCAGCAGCAGCAGCGTGAGGACAGCCATACCCGCAGCAACAGCAATGCCAGCAATGGTTCCGTTGGATAGACCGCTTCCAGACTGGGATGGAGAGGCTGATGGTGTTGGCACTGGCGATGGGGAGGGTATGAAATCTGAGTAGGAAGGAGGAGATGCCGAAGGGAGAAGGAGGTTAGATATGGGGTTGGCGAAATGGGATGTGGGACAAGGAACAGTTTGCTCGGGAAGAGGAAGCAAAGGCTGAAACAAATGCTCTTCTTTAAGCATGAGCAAATTCTATTCACCAAGATGGATGGGTAGTTGTGAGCATTGCATGATGTGAGGATTAGCTGGGCTGTGAATGCTTGACGTTGGAAAATCTTGTTAGGTTTCATGCAACACAGTGCCTACGCACTCAGCACTATTGAGAGCAAAGAAATCAAAGGTAGTATGAATTGCAGCCACCAGCATTGGGAGATTGCATCACCTCGTTGTGGCTTGTCACACGTGATGCAAAAAGAGTCACAGTGCCTGCAGAAAGCACTGGAAGCATTCTGTGGGACCATGCAGCTGCTGTAGTCAGGAGGGCATGTGATTGCAGTCGAAGATATGTACCTGCACATCCACAGGGAGCGTTATCAAGCTATGGATCAAAGGCCTGTTTTAGCTCTGAGGTTGCTATTTGAGACGTATGGCAACACATTGCCATATTCCACTGTCCCAATTTGTCTTATAGGATGAAAATACAGGTGAAGCATACTTTGGGTTTCTATTTTTTGCTATAGAAATTGACTTGACTTGGATCAGTGCAGTTCAATAACTTTTGGGCCAAAGAGGATTGGGCCGAGTCAGTCCATGTGCGGCCCATGGCACCTGTGGGTGCAATGGAACTTGGGCTATGGGGCTGAATACGTCAATCTGACTATGATACATTTGCAACACTTAAATATTATAAGAAGCCTTACAAGGATGGAAGCCGACTGAGATTGCCTATTGTTGGGGGGAGTTCACCAGTGAGGTTGTTCCAACTGACATCACTGCAATGAAAATGGCAGAGATTGGATAGAAACCCGTCTAGAGCATCGCAAACACATGATGG